TTAAGATGTCTGCCGAGGAATACGTGTGTCTTATGGCAAGTGTTGTGAGTCTATGGTTTGGATTCTCTGTCATTATGTTCACTCAGTTTATGGGCGATATTTGTATGAAACTACAGATTTATTATCATGCACATTTTAACAAAGTTGTGATTAATTTGAAAATTAAAAATTTAAAGCGTAAACTTAAAATTAGGTATTGGAAAAATTAGGTTTAAAATAAAGTTAATAATAATTACTCTGTAATTATTTAAATTTTAGTTGTAACCTAATTTACCAATTTGTATTTGTTGTTTAAATAGTTTATTGCCATAAAATAAAACAAATTATCTATTATTTATTAAAATATTTATTATAGTAGTAATTAGTTATAATACATAATTATTTCACTATTTTTAATATAGAATTGTATTGTTCATAAATTAGTTGCTTTTAATTAATATCAACTTATTTAATGTTATTAATAAATAGTCCAACAAACTTATAAGAATCAATTCATTATGTACTGTAATGTATATTTTTATAATTATTTTATAAAATTTTATGATTTGCGGTTATTTCCATTAATGTTTAATTTGTTACTAGTGAGAATTATTTAATTGTTAAATCATTTATTTCAATTTGTAGAAACAATTAGTCCTGAAATACGTTAACAAAAATATTAAATTTTATGATGTCGTTATTAATTCATTAAACTTAATAAATACAATGTAAACCAAAAATAATATTATTTATTAATTAATCTAAAAAAATTGATAATAATAATAATAATTAATATAATTATTTTTTAACTGTCGTGAAATAAATAAAAATGTACAACTTTTAATATTAGAATTGTAAATCTTTAAACAATGAAAATTATTTTGTATTTTAAAAATACAATTTTAAGAATATCATCATATTTGTCGTACTTTAAATAAAATAAAAACTCTTACCTGATTATTTGTAGTGTATATACAACAATTTTTAAAGATAATATATATGTTATATTTATATAAATTATTTCATTAAAAAGTTAATAAAAATTTCATTTTGAAATTAATAAATTTGCAATATTGCTATAAATAATGATATAAATTTAAGTTTGTACTTAGCTTAATAAAATACTAGAATGATCTAAATAATTTCTATTTTATTTTGCAATTCTATACCCCTTTGGTTTAATGATTAGATAAATGTTTTTAACATATCTGATAATTTCCTAAAGACATGTGTCCCTGATACAATTGCTTCATTTATACATAATATTCATGTATTCTTAGAAATTTTAATTAAATCACTGATACAATATTTATTCAGCTTATTTATATGATTAGGTTTAACGAAAATAGTAACCAGTAAACATTTATTACTAATTATATGGGTAATACTTAAATTACCATACAGTTTATTGTATCACAACCGCAATGGATTATAAAATTTAAAAATTTATTTAGTCCAATAAATTGTTTCACTTTTATTGGATAGAAATATAAAACATGATAACTGTACAAGTTTTTGTGTTATTTTATATGAACTTTATATTAGTTATAAGGTTTGTATATTTGTACTCTAAAATAGAAAAGATCCATTAGTATTTTAATAACGTTATATTTAATGTTAGATCTTGTGTATGTTTATAATTAAATAATGACAATATGTTTAAAGTATAATTTTCACATTATTATCTGGAGTATTTTAAGCACGCAGAAACTTCTGAGTATAACTTGAGTATGTTATACTGTGCACTTAGATTAGATGTCCTAAAAACGTGAAAATGCACTTGCTATCTTGAATTAAAAGCTACTGTATAATCTATGATAGTTTGTGTGTTGCACAAATTGCATGTAACAAATGTATTGTTGCTTAGATTACTGACAATTTATTTGGTATATAAATACATCAAATCTTACAAAATTATTTAACTAAATCATACTTTTAGATTAAATTTCATTTTCAGTACTATATACGTTATAAGGTTAATTAAGCAATTTAAAAATATTTAATAATGCAAGTTTCTATAATTATTTTTATAAGTTTATTAAGTATGTATTAAAAATAAAATATCCATAAGACAAATTATTATCATTGTAAAATTATGTAAATTAATTAAATTTGTAAATATTTTAATTCATCCAACAGTTTGTGTCAATTGTAAGCCAATTGGCGATACTTTACCCGAAGTGGTGGCCATAGAGTTATACGAAGGGGACGGCTATATGGAGCTCATTTTGAAGGACCAGTCGAGTGAACGTACGTACTATGGGGCACGTGAGAAGTACGTGAAAAACTTGGAACTCCTATTCAACCTTCCCTTTCAAAGGATAACCAGCGATAGCTCGGACCCTAAACTTCAGAATGTTGTCATCAAGAAGGATAAGACACCGGATAATACCCGGCTTATTGTCGATGGTAATGACAAACCTGTTGCATTCGTAAGGGTTCAATTCCAGAATGCACAAATGAACTAGGTATTTTAATTTAAATAATGTGTTAATTAAATTAATCTAATTGTATATTTATGATAAATATTTGTTGGAAAATAAAATGCATTATTTAAAAAAGTTGTTTACCTGGCTCATTAACTTTTGAGATTAGAAAGTAAGTAGGGTAAGAGTATATATTTTATATACAACAGTTTACACAAATATTCATTAAAACAGTAATAAATGTTTAAATAAAAAATTTTTATTATAGAATAAATTATTTTTAATAATAAAACTTAATAATCTTATAAATTGTTTAATGTAAGTGTAATGGTATTGACGGTATAAATGTGCATTAGGTTACTGTATTTAAAAGTTTTAAATTAAAACACTGTAATTAATAATTGTAATCCGTTGTTAAATGATATAATTATTATTAAATAAATTATTGTATAACTAAATATTCGTAATAAAGTTTATTTCATTGAATATCTAAATTTCAATAAAACTATAATTTTGTGATTATTTGACAAATACTTATTCAAGTAATTTTTATTTAACATTTTTTACAATAATCATAAGATTTAGAAATCAGATTATATTATAAAACCATCGATCTGTCGGTCGTTGCATACAATACACACCCGTTATAGTGAACACTATTTTTAGTAAATATTCATTTATTTGTGAAATACACTCATAATTGTGTATAAATTGTGATTTTGTTTTAGGATTAATAAAATGTTCAATAATTAAAATGTTTTAAAATACCAATCCTTATTACAAATCTATTCATTGGTATATTTGTAAATATAATTACTGTTTAGCAACTTAATGCATTATTGTATAAATGAATTTTTGATTAATTTTGATTAATTATTATTTATGATATTTTTTTTGTTAATTTATCATTTCTAATTCAGTAACCTTAAATTGACATCATTAATTTTAGTGCACATGTTACATAATTATGAAATATAATTTATGAATTCATTATCCATTCACTGAACTCTAACTAGTGTAAGTTATTATGTACACTGTATATTGTACAGTATATCAAATAATTTATTGCATAATTAATATAACTAGTTAAAACTAATAACAATATAATTGTTATATTATTTAAGAGATTAATATACTTAATAATTTTGTTTCAAAAACATTTCTAGTAATGTCATTTGATAATGTTTATCAAATAATTTTTAAAATTTATAAAATATGAATGTAGAGAATAAACATTTCATTAAAACTGAAAATAATTGAAATAAAATTTGTTTATTAACTTAAAATGCATTTTAAATTGAATACTGTTTATAAAATTGTATCATATTTACTGTGTTTCATAGGATGTATGTATCAAACTTTTAAAATAAGTGAACTATACTTCAGATACCAAACCACTACTAATGTTAAGTACGAGTTGGTGGACACCATATCATTACCGGCCGTAACATTATGTGTGAATAAAATAAATTTTGTAAATAAGCGAAACTTTGGGAATGTTTCACGAACGAAATTACTTCGTGAAATAAACCAGTTAAGTATCAAGGAGCAATATCTATTTCTAAAGTCATCGAAACGATATTTTACATTTTATTCAGACGTTCAAAACTTTACTGAAACCTTAAAAGTCTCAATAAATGGGCATTTATTTTGTTTCACACTATTTTCGCAATTAGATGGTGAACCGGATCATATTTACACAATTAATAGATTTCAGATGAATGTAATACTATTATACTTTCACCATGATGCATTAGTGACAATTCGTGACAAAAATGTATTTATGAGAATTCATTCGAGACGTGAATATATTTGGAAACAATTGGCGGCCAAAACATCATTCATTAGATTTGATTTGAATAATAGTATTCCCCATAATATAAATTATCAAAGGACCCTGGTTATGGACACGTCTAATCGGTATTGGATTAAGTGTTTTGACGGACAGACACACGACGAATGTCTACATAAATGTGAGATTAAAGAGTTTGTTAAATCTTACAAACTTTATCCATATTTTCACAATTCATATGATATGAATGCTTATCTTAATTTCTCGAGAATGCAAAATGCATTTAAGCTAGTTACTATTTGTCGGCAAATGTGCAAATATTATACTGAGTGCCACAAAGAGTATTATAAATTGAGTTTAGATAACGATTTTACGAGAAAAGACGTTCATTTTATAGCCATAAGAGTACCTAAAGATCCGGATATAGTATACGAGATAACACTGAAGATGTCTGTCGAGGAATACGTGTGTCTTATGGCAAGTGTTGTGAGTCTATGGTTTGGATTCTCTATCGTTATGTTTACGGACTTTTGTGCGGAAATTATGCATAAATACAAAGAAATTAAATTGTTTTCAACATTTGTCAAGTATTATAGACAGAGATTTACTAATAGAAATATGTTCATAATTTTTAATATTAAAAATATATTACAAAATGACATTTGTCATAAGAAAAGATCAAATAAAATTATTGCAAAATCATAGAGAATTTTGTTATTAATGTATTAATTGTTTAGAAATATTAGCATAACTTTATTTATTGAGAACATAACAATTTATTTTATATTTAATAGATTACATTGCATTATAATTTATTATATATTTAATTAAATATCATATATATTTAATTTATTTCTTAATGTTTTTTTTTGATCAAATTGTTTATTAAATGCAAAGTAATATAAATATTATTTTCAATATTATAAATATAAATGTAATTACAATATTATTTTCTTATTTATTCTAGACTGTTTGTATATTATAATAATATTTAATATATTACTAACTTAATAAATTATGTGATATATTTTTAAAAATTTATTAATAACAAAATGTTTATTTAATTGTATCTGTACACACTTTTTGTATCTGATGAAATATTCATTTAATTAAATGTTGGTAAACAATATTGATTGATGTTATTTCATATTTTTTATTTTAATTTTAGTGTGAGTTATAAAGTTCAGGGAATTGTATACTAATCTGAAATAAACATGATTTTAAAATTCAGTACTATATATAAAATTATAACTCATTTATTATGTATGTGTGGATGTATGTATCAAACGTATAAAATAAGTTTAGTATACTTTTCATATCAGACCACTACTAATGTTAAGTATGAATTTGTGGACAGCATATCATTACCAGCCATTACTCTATGTGTTAATAACCTAAATTTTCTTGATGAAACAACACTCAAAAAATCATCAGGGATAAATCAAAGTGATTTGATTAGAAAAATAAACGAGTTAAGTATCAGGGAGCAATTTGCTTTTTAAAAATCGTCCAAGTATAATTTTAAATTGCATTCTAAAGCAAAATGGTTTATTGAAAACCCAAAAATATCAATAAGTAGCAGGGCATTTTGTTTCACAATATTTTCACAGTTAGATGGTGAACCCGATCATATTTATGAACTTAATAGGCTTTCACTATACGCTATAATAATCTTTTTTAATCATGATCATATCAACATGCTTGTGGACAAGTATTATATACGCGGATTCATACGAGACGTGAATTTATTTGGAAAGACAATTTTGATCAAGCTTCATTATTCAATTTTATTAAATTCGACGTAAATAATACCAAATCATATAATGTCCAGTATAAGAAAACAGTGGTCAGGGATGTGTCTAATCGGCATTGGATTAAGTGTTTCGATGGACAGACACTTGAGGAATGTCTACATAAATGTTACATTAATTTACACATCAAATCAAATGATAATTATCCATATTATTATACTTCATACGATATGAATAGTAGCCGTGTATTCTCGAGTTCACGAGGGTCATTTGTAGATCATTATAATTTAACAAATTGCAAACAATATACTGAATGTTATAAAGAGTTTTATGAACTAAGTATTGATACCAATTATAGTGAAAGAGTATTTGTCGACATAAATGTACCCAAGAATCCGGATATCATATACGAGATATCACTGAAGATGTCTGTCGAGGAATACATGTGTCTTATGGCAAGTGTTGTGAGTCTATGGTTTGGATTATCCGTTATAATGATAACAAACATTTGTAGAAATATGCTTCAAAAATGTGATAAAAATAAATTGTTATCGATATTGAACAAGTATTATCAAATTGTTTTCAATAAGTATATTTGCATAAATATGAATAATGTTTTATGTAATAATAAATACCACAGACAAAGGTCAAATAGGGTTTTCACAATAACTCATAAACATTTTACTTAAGATTTTAATCATGATTATGTATTATAATTTAAATTGCTTCAATTTACTACTATTTAATTAAAGGTCAAATAAATAAACAAATTTAATTTTCAAAAGAATTATTATTATTGCAATACTATTAGTGAAATACTGTACTATACTAGGTGCATAATACAGGTAACCAAACTTTTGATATGATTATTTGTAAGGGAAATGTGTTTTCAAAACATGAGTTAAGTATTAATAACTTTTACATTAATATAAATTAAAAATAATATTTTCAAG